AATATATGATGTGCCATTGTTACAGATTTTTATCTTTCCTTTTAGTAATAATTTTTTTATGCAACAAACAAGCGGTGGGTAGTAACTGGGAGGTATGCGGCCCAAGTTCAAAAGGCGTATAGTAATAGCTATTACGACTGGTATATAAGAGTACCCCAGTAAAATCACTAGCTTCAGATACCCATATTTATCGCCCGAGTGATCATGATGTTCTTTGTGTAATTTTTCTTTATGTTTGCTAACTAAAAAATGCAGTTCTTCCCATGCAATATTTTTTTGCAGATTATTGAAGGTGCAAAAAAATATGACGTAGCAATAATCCCAATTGGTGGTGGAACGTCGGTGTCGGGTGCCTTGGAATGTCCGAAATATGAAGCACGCTCAATTTGCTCGTTGGATATGTCGATAATGAATAAAATTATCTACATTGATGAGGAAAATTTGCTATGCCGAGCACAGGCAACTTTTTTTTTGTAAATTTAAACGATGTAGAGGCTTGTGAAACGAATATATGTTTATTACACAGATAATTTGTTCTGTTCTTTCTCCTGTTTTTTGTTTAAGTAGAATTTGCCATGGAAACCCTTTTCCAGGCTTTTTTACACGTTTTTGCCGTGCATCGCTGGAGTTTTAGTTTTTTTTAGAAAAATTTTTCGAACTTTTTGCAATTTGCAGAAGCAAAACTTTCACATTTAACCTTTTCCTTTCTGTTGCTGCTGAATCATGCTTATAAATAGCATAGGTTTTGCTGTTCGATTTTTCTCCCGCACTCCAGAGTACAGTCGGAACTGCTGCATTGTGCGGCTTAATTCTATCGTTTTGCGGTTAATTCATCAAATAAACTGGGCTTCGCTTCTAAGTAACCCCTGAATGAGGAAGCCAACGACATCTGTGCTGGCGGTGGCTGTTATTGACTTTTACTCGGGCTATTCCCAGATTTCTTCCGCTCGTCGTACAGAGCCAGTGCAAGGGGAGGGGGAAGGAATTGACTTTTGATTTTGTGAATGCCTTGTGTTATTATTCATTTTAGGCAGGTATAGTTGGACAGAATTTGGAAAGATTGCTTAATGAGAAGGGCTTTACTTGTGGTCACGAGCCAGATTCGGTGGAATTCAGCACTCTTGGTGGATGGGTTGCTACAAGGGCATCCGGTATGTCTTGCAAATACTCCTTGATGATCATTGATGTGGAATTTTTATATTCGAGTGGATATGCGACCAGAAGGTTTTAAGAGGAATTTGAGTTTTGCACGGAACATAAAGATTCCTTTAGTAAATTCGTATT